ATTAATTTGTTATATTATAAAAAGTAGTTATAATATTAATTTGTATTGTAAATTTATAATTATAATATATTATTATATTATTAATTTGTTATATTAAAAAATTTACTTATGATATTATATATATTTGTTTGTTTAATATTATGTAATAATAATTTATATTATATTTGGTTTGAGAAAAATAGAATAGAGATAAGAGAAGGGGAAGATTTTTTTGATTAATTTAATTGTAATGTTTAAAAATATTATAATTTGATTATTTAAAAAACTCTTATTCTTTTCTTCTTTTTCATTCTTCTTCATCTAGACATATTGTTAAAATCATATTATAATTATAAATTTATAATTATATACATATATAGGCTAAATTCAATAAATAATCTATTAATTATGTGGTTTATTTCAGTTCAGTTTAAAAATAATTTTTTGTTTCAAAATGATCTATAAACTATCAATTTTATTTTAAAATGATCTACTTGATAAACATTTCGTTAACTAGATTAACATAATTCTTTCCAACTGTTGATGTGTGCGCCCTAAACTTTTGAAAAAAGTTAAATATAGTAGATATATTTTTGTTTTTTAAGTTTAAATTATGTATCAAATGTAATAATTAACTATGATAAAATTTCAATTTACATTAATTAAGATTTTAATTTTAATTTACAATAATCAATATTACAATTTAAATTTTATTATTTCTAAAAAATTTAATTTATTATTAAATATAAATATTTTTAATAAATAAATCCTTCCAAAATTTAATTTAATTAAATAAGTATTCGCACATAATTAAAATTACTTGAAAAAATAAAAATTCATTTCAATTTTATAAATCCCCAAATTAAAATCATGTATGTTTCATTAGTGTTAAAAATAAAAATAAATTTTTATATTTTTCTATACAAATTAATGAAAAAATATATAATTTAATAATGATATTAAGTTTTTAAAGAAATAATAAAATTTAAATTGTAATATTGATTATTGTAAATTAAAATTTAATATTAATTAATATAAATTGAAATTTCATCTTAATTAATTATTACATTTGATATAGAATTTAAACTTCAAAAACAAAATATTACAAAAAAAACAAAAATATATGTACTATATTTAATATTTTTTAAAAATTTAAGAGGCACACATCAACTGATAGAAAGAATGTTGTTAATCTAGTTAATGAAATATTTGTCAAGTAACGTTTTGAAACAAAATTGGTAGTTTATAGATCATTAAAAAAATTTATTTTTAAATTAAATTAAAATAAATTATATAATTAATAAATTATTTATTAAATTATATATATATATATATACATGATATTGCAGTTATAATATATTAACATTGCGGATTACATTACTGTTCTTTATTCCTTATCGGGATTCCTTTACTTGCCCATCTGTAATGCACCTTATTGAAGAAAAAGAAATGTGACAAAAGTTAGAGACGGTGCAGGAATGTCTCTTCATCAAAGTAGCTTTAAAATGCTAAATGCAAAACAGTTTCAATTTCCCATTTTCCTTTTTTTGGTTTTTCTGAAGAACCTTGTTGAAGACAAATTCTCTCCCAAGGTCCTGGTCGGTTATGGGGAAAATCAGGGTGGAGGTGTGTCTAATTTCTGCTCGAGGACTCCGGCGATCTTCTTCGCTTTGGAAGGTCCAGTGGTTTGCAGTTGGTTGGATTGAGCCTGACAATAAATATTGCACCAAGATTGATGCTTCTGGGAATGCAAATCCAGTATGGAAAACCAAGTTTGCTGCTTTGGTAGATGACTCAAATCTCAAAGACATGGCACTGCAGGTTGAAGTGTACAGTAGAGAGCCCATTTTCCTCAGGGAAAGGCTTCAGGGGACTGCAACAGTTGTGTTGAAAGAATTTCTCTCCAAGAATTCAAGGTCAGGAGCCGAACAAGTAGGGAGCTATCAGTTGCGCAAAAGAAATTCCAACAAACCTCAAGGCTTGGTTGACATCTCAATTCGTATTTCAGATGAAAGTGAAGACGAAGCTCCATACCAGGGAGGTATAGGTAGCACCCCCAAATTTCTATATATATATATATATAAATTTTTTATTTATCAAAGAGATTTATCCTTTCATTTCATTTCCTTCTCTTCAGAAATAATTGAAGATGCTAAGGTAAAAGGTTGCATATTCCTCAAAATTGTGACATTGAAGCAAATTATCACTCTCAAAAAAATACTCACACTCAAATCTTATTTTTAAGAAATTAGTTTAAATTTAATGATTATTATTAATTTTTTTATTAAATTTTAAGAATAATAATTGTTAAATTTATGCTTAAGATTTCTTAAAAATAAAAATTTATGGCGATAAATTGTTTGTAGACCTTTTATTTTTATTTTTTAATGATTTGCTTCAAACGATAATTTTAAGGGCAAGTTGCACATTTGGCTACATACTAATCGTTTGTTGCGCCCCAGGCAATGAAGGACAGGTGCTCATGGATCACAGTACCGGTGTTATAAGATTATCTACTGAAGGTGGAACTCAAACTTCCCTAACAGGGGCAGGGACAGGGGCAGGAGCAGCACCATTCCACCACCTAGTCAATGCAAATCCGATGTCATATCCTCCAAACTTTTGCAACATATCACCAGGGGGAGCAAGCTATCCACCGGCACCAGGTGTTGGACCCAGTTATCAGCCGCCACCACCACCACCACCACCAAGGACTCCACCCCCACCGCCACCACCGTCTAACGTTGGTTACATTCCCACTTTCCTCCCAAGAACAGATTATTTTGGAGAGACTTACGTGAATATGCCATCATCTACAGCAGCACCTGGAAGAGGGCCAAGACCTGGTTTTGCAATGGGAGCTGGAACTGGAGCACTGGCAGCCGGCGCTCTCATCTTTGGTGATGATTTCATGTCTGGGTTTGACATTCCTGCAGGCTTACCGGATGCTAGTCTTACCATATCTACTGACCCTCCTTTCTAGTGCTAAGTGCTTACAATAAAACTACTTTCTATCGTTGAGAAAATTCATTCAATGAACTGAGTTTGTTACAGATGTTGCTAAAATCCATCACGTTGAACGCTGCTGTTTTACAATAAAAGCGCCTACCATATTTTGGTGGGATTGGACATATCGTTCTTGTAGCAAAATGGCATTACACTTGAATATCCCATACATGTGCAAATTCTTGTATTTTGACAAAGAGAATTCGTATATATATTCTGCTGTGGCAAAAGGTTGCAGAATATGATAATTCATGCCCAGACTGTATTGTATGAATCACAAGTATACAAATCGATGTTACCACAATCGTTCCAACTACCTATTACCCCACTCTTCTCTATTTTTCTTTTCTTTGTGTTTCTTATTGCCCCTACAAGCACAAAAGGTTTTCAATTTAGTTAAGGTGTCACTAAAAATTGTACATGGTTTGAAAAATTCCAATGACTGCACATGCCTAAACATAAGTTGCCGAGGAGCTGAGACTGCATAAATTTCAGGTGATAGCTGGTAAAGACTGATCCTCAGAACTACCGAAAGCCCTTTTCAGGAACTTATCAACAACTGAAAGAAACTCTTCCGCCTTTTCTTCATGGGGCAAGTGACCACAATTCTTAATTACTTCAAAACAACATTCAGGAATGGCCCGTGAAAGTCTCTCAGCATTCCAGGAGGGAACTAGTCGGTCAGAATCACCAGTGACTATAAGAACTAGAATTCATTAAGAGAATAGTAAGCAACACCATTTTATCTACCTTTAAAATAAAGGATGAGAGATAAAGGATAATATAGCATGGTAGAGAAATGCTAAACTTTATGAGGATAGAAAATAACATTGGTATAGATATTATATATATTGAGGTAGAAAATAGGAATAGCCAAGAGCCCAAGAGTTAATGTCTAACTTTCTATTAGATCAGGGAAGAATCAAGGAATACCTATCTGCTATTCTTTAAAAAAATGGGAGGTAATACATATTCCTTTCTCATCTCTTAATTTAGTAGAAAATGATCTACATTAAGGCTAAGCTATTCCTAGCTTAGTAAGGAAGTTTCTCTATTTTGCCTTATTTTTTAAGTTTGACCATGGAATAGCTACTACTACCAACCAAACATGAAATAAGAGATCATACAAACACAGGTTCTCATTCAGATTTTTCTTTTGAATAGTCTTTAAAGTTCTTTATAGGTCCAAGTAATCCAAATAGCCTACTGAGGCTTATTACCTGTCTTTCACATGTACTGTTATACTTCAGAACCAGATACGAATTATTACCTGGACAGGAGATTTCATGTAGTCTTTCTCGCAGTGCTATCTTTGTTGAAGACTTGTTATCAAAAAGCATTGCAGCTGTGAATTCCACAAGAGCCCTGTCCCAGCCCTTAGCTCTTAGTGGCTGCATAAGACACTAACATTCATGTAACTGCTATATAAAACAAATTAATGCAGGTTAAGAATTCCATTCCATCCTTCAATATTAATTTAAACCAAAAAAAAAAAAAAAAGGAAGAAGAATAAGAAGATAGGTCATCTGTATATGTTACCTTTGTATAACCCTGCAGGATATGATCAGTGACTTGCTTTGAGTCATACCATGCAGTCTTTACAGCAGCTATACCAAATTTATCAATTATCATCCTCACCTACAGGAATGATGGGATATTATTTTTCAACTATGAAAATTGGTGTTTCATCAGAAATAGAAAGTATTGAAGTATATAAAGCAAAACAATACACTATAGCTAAAGAAATATGATGTTAGCAAGCTGTATCAAGCAATGAAGTTGCAATGGAAATGTGTATCTCAGAATGGAATCACCAAAAAGGAAGGGTGTACAGCAGGTTGTGGTTGTGGCATGAGATTTTTACAATTTCAGTTCTTATTTAATTTATTGATCCTCAGATGGTAAATCTTCGTGACATTTTTTCTAGCAAGATCACAAGTCAGGTTTGGAATACCAAACAAAAACTGTAGGACTGAGAAGTTTTTGAGAGAGTAATCATTTCATATCTTTGATTTGGAAGGATAAGAAATCCCAATAAATAAGCAAGTAACTCAAGCTAGTTGCACTGTGAAATCATACAGAAAAACTGTCAATACCAGCATCACAGCCACGGCAGAGCGCAGAATAGCAGATAGTGCTTTCTTATACAGGGAGTTGAGCATGTCGGCCATGCCCTTTGCTATTTGCATTACTGCTCCCGCAATGTACTGGGTAAACTTAGAGATAATTTCAACAAGCTTGAGGAATGATTTCAGAAGATTATCTGATTTTGGTCTGCCCCTTTCAATCTGGTCAGTTCTTTCAGGATGATTTCCTTCAACAACCTTATGGACACCACCTGGGGCCAATATTGCTGGGGCAACAAGGATCAGAGCAGCAACACGTTCAGGTGCTTCAAAATATGAATTAATGGCTACAAGAGCACCAGCTGAGTGCCTGGCAAGCAAAATTTTCAAGAGTTAAGGGAGGTATTTTCATGAAGATGAATGGAAGAACAGAAACAATCCCCTTGAAGATAATAATATATAAGTAGTGCAATGAGAAAATTAGGATCCAACTCAAGGTAAGGCTTTTGGCACCTGAAGAACTCAATGAACAAACCAAGCATAAAAGGTGAGAAAATGTGCATACCCCACTAGTATTGCCTTTTCAGCTGCCAAGAAATCAATGAAATACAAGGTAGCAAGCACTGCAAATGCCATGGTGTATGGATTCAAAGGTTTTTTATCATCAGTACCAGGAGAAGAATGCCTGAGAATATTTACCCTTGATGTCAAGCCAAAGGCTGGTCTATCAAAAGCAAGAGCTTTGGAGGCTGTGATCTCTGCCAAAGGCTTCATAACCCGGTTCCAGGAGAAAACAGAAGCTCCAAAGCCATGTAGTAGAATCATAGGAATATTAAGCTTCACTGTTTGGTGAGAAAGAGTTAGGCCTTGGCTTGGTATGTAGTCCTTGCTTTGTGATTGTGCATCATACAACTTGTGGTGAATGTGAACCCCTTGAAACTCACAAAAAGAACTGTCAGGATCAGCAAGGAGAGTGGGATCCAACAATTCATCTTGATCAATGCCTGCTATTCTCTTCCTTTGCTGCTTGATTCTTGCATCCCACAATTCACCTAGATATGAAGGTAGCAAAGGTTCCTTAGAACTAACTATGAACTAACTTACTATCCAAAAAACTGATAGTCATATCATTTGAATAAAAAAAGTTAATACTATTCAGCATCACATAAAGAACCTAGCAACGATTAGCGTTAAAAAATTAAACCCAAAAGGAAAAGGCTTGATTTAAGCTGATAATGATAAAGAACGTTGAACTGTTGAAGCATAAATTCCCATATTTAATTTAGGATAAAGTGCAACAGTACAGCATTACAAGAAAAATGATGAAGTCAAAACCTCATCAAAATCATCAGAAATGATACACCACCACAATGCCATGGCATTGCTCTTGAGAGAGATATAAAAAGTACCTGCAGGGTATTGGGCTCCGGAGGCAGAGGATGCAAGGGGTGGATGGAAGCGTCTAGAATACGATCGACTCTGAGGTGCATCCCGGCGGCTTTGAGGGTTTCCAATCTCATGTTTCAACACCAACAACGGCCGGAACTGAACCACCCCGACCCCGAGGACACTCATGCCTTCAGCTTGGATACGCGGGAGCCAACCGACTGGACGACACGACCCGTCACATAGAGGAAAAAAAACTGCAAAAGGAAGGATCGTCAAAGGATAACGTTTGCGCTTGCTTCCTACTACTAGGCTAGGCAATGTTAATACGGCATCGTTTAATGTCTGCCTGGTCGCTGCTCATCTCATTAACATTAGATCCGGAGGATCAAATCGAAGAGCAGCAAACAACAAACATGGAGGCTCTGCTTTGTAAGAAACTGGGCGACCCAGCAGCGTTGACATCCCTGGACGAGCGAAATTTGGATTCCCCAATAGAGTTGAGCAAAAACCATCCCATCCCAGAACTTAACTCTCCAACTGCAGTTAGAATCAGGGTGAAAGCTACCAGCTTGAACTACGCCAATTACCTGCAGATACTGGGCAAGTACCAGGAGAAGCCTCCCCTTCCCTTCATACCAGGGTCCGATTATTCTGGCACCGTAGATGCGATTGGCTCCAGTGTATCCAAATTCAAGGTTGGAGACCCTGTTTGCTCCTTTGTGGCACTTGGATCCTTCGCCCAATTTATCGTCCAAGACGAGTCCCAGCTGTTCGTACTGGATCTCAATTTGATATTTGTCTTCAAGATTTGAAAATGTATATTTGCTTTATTTGGGAATTTGGTTTCAGATACCCTGTGCCGGCTGGGTGTGATCTGGTGGCCGCTGCTGCGCTCCCCGTGGCATTTGGGACCTCCCATGTGGCTCTTGTTCACAGGGCAAAATTAACCTCTTCTCAGGTTACTCTGTCTCAACGTTTTTCATTTTTAATTAGATAATGTCGTAAATATACCTAATAATTTTCTAAAAGCTGACTGTTAGAAATAAATTATATAGGTATTGCTTGTGCTTGGAGCTGCAGGTGGGGTTGGCCTTGCTGCTGTTCAAATCGGGAAGGTTTTTGGAGCCACGGTTATTGCCGTTGTCAGGTGTTTTCTCTTTCTTCTTTTACCTGCTCAACTCAATTTTGTCTTATTCCAGTATTGTGAGAAAATGTAAAAAATTTTGGGGGCTTTGCTTGGATTTCAGGGGACCTGAAAAGGTACAACTTCTGAAATCACTGGGTGTTGATCATGTGGTTGACTTGAGAAACGAGAATGTAACTGAAAGTGTCAAGGGATTTCTCAAAGCAAGGAGATTGAAAGGAGTTGATATTCTGTATGACCCTGTTGGCGGCAAGCTTACTAAAGAGACTATGAAACTCTTGAACTGGGGTGCTCAAATTCTAGTCATTGGGTTTGCTAGTGGAGATATCCCTGTTATTCCTGCTAATATTGCTCTGGTTAAGGTACTCATTCTTCTCATTCCATGCTTGTAATGCTCCCATTTTGCTTTTCTTTGCTTTTGATCTTGCTTAAATGCCAATATCGGTCCCTTAACTTTAGAGTTTTGCACAATGTTCATCCCTCAACGTTTTTAAGCATTTATTTGGTCTTAAATTATGAAAAATGCACTTCGTTAGTTTTTTTATCAGTTAGTCCATTAAATCTCTTTGTATGAGTGCATTTTTAATTCCTCAACTTATAATATATGCACATTTTTCGTCCTTGAGAATTTTTGGTCTCTCAACTTAAAAGCTCAAGGTCTAAAAATGTGTATATATTGATAGGTTTAGTGGATTAACTAACAAAAAAGGCTAAAAAAAAGTGTATTTTTCATAGTTGAGGAACTAAAAAATTGCACAAAAGAGTTGAGGGATGACAACTGTGCAAAACCGTAAAGTTGAGGGACCAAACTTGGCCTTTGACCTTTTATGTTACTTCTTAACAGTTCTTGCCTGTTTGTACTTCATTTTAACAAAGATTATGATTTTTTAACATCAGATGAGCTGGGCAGTTATATTTTTACTGAACCGATCAATTGTTGAACTTAATAATGCAATATATAGGTTTCTGAAAATTTGATAAATGTAACAAATATTTCCTCCAGTCCTGTCATTATCACACCCTGGTTGAAACCTAGACTACTTGATGTACTTAGACCATTAAAAGTGACCATGTTTAGGGAATGGTTTGGAAACTGACCCCATAGTAGGTATATTGGTATTTACCTAAAGCGCTTAAGTTACCTTGAAGTAATGACAGATCAGTGGAATGAGAGTATTGGAGAACAATCTGACCTAGTGTGGCATGCGTGCTCCATTTGCAAAGACTCTCATGAGGATGAAGATAAGCATTTGAATGCATTTTGCTTAGGAGAAAACAGACATTATGATGCTGTTAAGAAATGTTTAAGTTGCTTATATATGTGTGTGTGCGTGTTGACTATAACATTAGCATGAATTTAATTCTTTTTTTTTTTTTTTTGGATAGAATGTGAAATTTTATTTATCCAAGAACTATGTGTACAAAGTTCAGCAGCAATATTTATAGCTACTACAATGAATGATATATTCCACTGACTGTACAACAGATTCAATCCCCCACTTGAAAGCAACAGATACAGGTAAAGAAAAGGATTTAGGCCTAGCTAAACCCAAAATTCTGTGCCTCACATCAAACTGCATATCTTTGCTTACTGCTTCATCTGATATGAATACCTATTGGTGGATCTTTCTATTCCTTTCTATCCAAATGCGGTAAGTTGCAGTATTCCACATAAACTTGATAAGTATCTGGTATAAAGACATCCTTCTGATTCATTTCTTCATCTACCTTAAAACCTTCTGCCAAGAGTCTGTAAAAGTATTATCAGTCAAAGTGCTCAAGCTCTGCCCTCAGTGCTGTCTACTTGCGTCAGGATTGTGCTGGGGGGCAAACAAACCCCAGAAGATAAACTTCCTGGGAAACAAGGGGTATAGTTAAATAAAACTCCAAGTAGCAGAATCTATGGGGCAGCTGGGCAGCAATTTGGAGTACACAATGGATAAGAGTCCAACATATAATTTTAATAATTAAAGGAGTTAAGCATGGTCCACTATCTATTACATGTTATGAATATCATTTTTTGTTCTATTTTTACTGCTACTATTGAATCACTTTTTGCATTTCTTCTCGAAACAGAACTGGACTGTGCATGGACTTTACTGGGGTAGCTACAATATACATTCCCCTGCTGTACTTAGGGAGTCTTTGAGGGAGTTACTTTTCTGGATGTCAAGGGGCTTGATCAAGGTCTTTGTTTCTCATATTTACAGCTTAGCAGAGGTCAGGATCTCCTTGAAATCTTCTCAATTTTCATTTTTCCTCTCACAAGTATTCATCGATAGGATGAAGCATCTTAGAAGAGTTATAACGAGGCTTAATGCCTATAATAGAAATTTTAGTGATCTCTTTTTTCATGTTAATCCTAAATGACATGCCAAAAGATATAATAATTATTATCGTCTATTTCTAGTCAGTAACAGAAACTGATGTGCTTGTTTACTCGCGTTTGACAGTCCAATCTTGCATTTGTTACTATTAAAGAGAGGAAAGCAGTTGGAAAGGTCGTCATTGCATTCACCGATCAGGGAAGTGGAAGATCTAAGCTTTAAGTAGATGGGGATTCAGCTTGGGAAACAAAGGTGAATATTTAATGATTAGCAAACAAGCTAGGTAACAAATTATGGACAAGAACAAAATGTCAAATAAAACTTTTAAAAGGTTTCCCTTACAATACATGTTATGAATGTAAGAACAAGATCCTTTTATATCTGTTATTCTGCTTGTGATTGTGCTTGTATGCACTCAAAATGCAATTGAATTGGATGGTGGCACTGCTTTGTTCATTTGACGTGCTGTAGAATGCAACTATTAAACCTTAACTGTTGCAATATCTGTAGGGAGGTGAATGTTCAATTATTTGACTTCTCAGATTACTCCTATGGTTACAATCTTCTATTTGGTTAATATTCGTATATCTTTAAGATTTCCCTTTTTATCATGAAATTTGTTGTAATTCTTCTTATTTGTATCATTTACGAGACCTAGATAGATGTTAACATTGTAGCCCCATCATTGGTGAAGCCTTTTAACTGATAAATAGATGGAAAATAATTTAAAGATAATTTTTTTATATAATTTTTTAATATAAATTTATATGTTATTTAAATGATTAATTTTTTTATTTATTTAAAACTCATAATATTAAGTGTATTTATTTATTTAATAATATGTGAAAATTATATAAAAAATTTAACTTTATATCAATACTCCAAATAGATTTATTTGTTAAGTCAGAATTTAATTTGCAAATAAATGATAATAATAATTTAATTTTTGTTAAAGATAGAAAAATTTAACTATCATCCCATTCATTTTTTTTTTTCTTGATTGCATAATGAAAAGTAATTATTTTTCATCCTTTATCTTATCTCACCCGTATGTCATGTGATTTAAATTTAAAATCTCTTACTTTCAGTAAAAAAAGAAAACAACTAAATTATTTAAACAATTGACATCCATTCTTCCTTTTAAATGGAATAGGTTAACCTCCAAAGTCGTAAAACATAAACAGGTCCACATCTCATTCAGTAAAAACAAATGACGTCAACATGCCATGCTATTCTAAGCTGTGAAAGCAGTACGGAGGCAATCAAGTTGATATTCCCTCTCTTCGTTTTTAGTTGTTCCAATTTGAACTCGCGCAATTCCATACAACCTATGGAACAACCAAAATCATGATGATTAGGCATTGAAATACCTCATTTATCCCTAATAAAATCTTTTTTCCTTCATTAATAGGTTAGAATAATAGGGTTAAATTTGAAATAAGAACATTTAATATCTTAAAAATAAAATAAAATAAGATAAAATAAAATAACCTTATTACCATTAAGGAGCAACTGACTGGCAGTATTTGTCAAGTCATACAATAAGCACCAGCATTAAATCCAGCTATTTCAGATTTGTACATTTATAGATTTTGAGGTTCCACATTTTCAAGGATGAGAAGAATCATTTCCATGGTGCAGTTACCATCTAGGTTGGCTGTCAGCTTTGACGAAGCGCACATATTCCTGTTGCAACATCTCTCCCCCGTGTGCAGGATCAAAACTGCATCTGTAGAAACTGATAATAAGAGAAAGGTATCGTGAGACAATGCAACGCAGTCCAACATTGAGAAGATTAAAGAAAATGAATTAATTGTATGACAGAATCTAAGTGCTGATATTGCTGATCAAAGAAAAAAAAAAGTGCTGATATGTTACTCCAGCAATGCAAAACCAATAGGGAAGGAAGTTTGTTTTGTATGGTAGCAACTGCATTTCAGTATCTATGCCAAACATGGACCATTGGCATAAGAACAGAATTAATTCAAACTTAATATGTATTAGATGTCATACGATCCTGTTTGAATCCAGTAAATGAATTTAAAGAAAAGAGAGGGGAGAGTTGGGAGTTTTGCCAAGAAAGCTAAGTTCCTCCCAATATCGATAACATTCATATGTAAGATAACTAATAGTAGTATCTCAGATGATTATAAATGGCAGTTTAGTGAAGTAAGACAAATCACATACCTTCCATCCATTCCAACAATAACAACAGTGTTCTGAGATCCAAATGCTGCAATGAATTGGGTGTCTTCTGGTAAGTGAAACCGAGCAAAAGACCACTCAGAACTAAAATACTTTGGCAAAACACCTGGAAGCAAACACCATACTAGTCAAAGAATTGTGGATCATCACCCTTAAACCCCCCCCCCCCCCCTCACAACCTCCTTTTCCCCAGAGAGGGGGAGAGAGAGAATTACTTACAAAATCATTATAGATATTTGAAAAAAGAAATTCCTGGGTTATTGGAAGATCAAAGAAATCTTCTGATAATGATACTGAATTGAATTGAATACAACATCCTTAAGTTATTATTTTTCTGGAAAATGTACAAACTTGGTAGAACTTAAAAATGTTGATGATACAGATATCTGTTTCTATTGGCATTTACATGAAATATATTAAAGAGAATCCAACCTTAAACCCACTGGCTATAAGTGGAGCCACAGACACTCAACTTGAATATAACCATAGGAAAGCCCATGCCTAACCAATTGGGAATTATACCACTTCAACAACATCAAATCCAACGAATTCTGTCTGACACTAAAACATGAAAATGTGCAGCACTGGCAAATTACTATACCATTCAATACAGTTGGAACATCATATGAACAACAATAGATGTACCTCTCATAAAAGATAAGGATGACCCGGGGTTTGCACCACTGCTTGGAGAAATGAGGCCATCAAGTGTAGCTGAAGAATTCTGATGAAATAAAGGCGGACTTTGAGCAGGAGATGAGTGAGAGGATGAACCCTCCCCAACTACTCTAACTCTGAGGCTAAATATGTGAACTGTTCCTTTGTCACTTGACACAGCCAACCATTGAACGGTTGGGGAAAGAGCAATACTATAAATATCTGCCCTATCCATTCCTCTACGCACCTGTATGATTGGAGTAAATATAAGTATCTCTGTTGCATAGGAAGAGAGCAGGCACAAGCAAAGTGCCAACTTTTCTTACAAGTTACGAATTTTAAAACCATAGTCTCATACATCACAATGAAAAGACTAAGAGTGTTTGAATCAGATGAAAGTTGCTAAATCAACTTGAAAACATTTTCCCAAGTAGCTATGGAGTTGGAACAGTAGAGAATAGTGGTCATGTGATAAAAGTGTAGGAAAATGCATAAGCTTAGCGAACCTCTTGCAATTGAGTTCCATCCATGGTGTTAAATATTCTTATGAGAGTGCCCCTGGCACTGGCAGTGGCAAGAAGTAGTCCATCCAAAGTCAAGGTAATGCAGGCAAGATGTGAATCATGAGCATTGATTAACTTGATCATATTAAGGCCAAAGTGTTGAAGTCGAACCTGGCCTCTGTAAAGACCAGGACAGGCCAATACAAAAGTGTTGGAATGATGAGAAAGGGAACAAAGTCCCCTAGGATTGGCAAGAGTCTCAATCTGATGAAGAAGCTTGAGATCCACAAAGCCATAGACATATATCTTGTGGTCAAGAACAACCACAATGCGATCTTTTCTCAATTTGACAGCACGAACCTCAGACCTAAAAGCAAATTCAGCGATGCACCTGCTCTGGTGATCATCCCAGATGATAACTTTGTTCGGAGGGTAGTGGGAATTAGGAAAGGCACCAACGAGTGCCAAAAT